CCTTCAGTGGTGGAAGTGGTCGGACTTTCATCGCTCTCCACTGTTTCACGGGTTGCACTCGTCGGAATTGGACGACCATCATCAGGTAGGTGAGATCCTGGCACCCAGATGTCTTCTGGGGGCTCGCGAATCCTTTCATCTCCTTCAGGGACTTGATCAACCTCCATGTCGGTGCTTCGCTGTGAGGACCCGCGTTGCGGTGGCCTGTACCCATGGAAAAAGGAGTCCAATAGGCCGACGCCAAGAGCGATCTCTTCAGGATTAGCCGGATAAACTCTACAGTCGAGAGCACCATGATCGCCAACCGCACCGCATGACAAACAAATGTCTTCTCGGGCAATGAGGTCCTGAACGTGTCGGAATCCATTCATAGCTAAGCGAACGAGCTCAGAGACTTCGGATGGAGCATCATCGGGTCCTTCCAAAGGATCAGCCTGCTCTACCTCTTCCTCTTCTGGCTCCTCTCCCGTAGCAATGGAAACCGCGAGATCCTCTTCGGGCGCTGCATGGTATTCGGGTTCTTCAACGGGTTGCGGTATCTGGATTTGTACGGCTTCACCATCCTCGTCTGCTCTGTCCGCGGGGTCAGCGAAGAAGTTGAATGATATGAGTGGTGTGATTTCCTCAATGCCTTGCTGCTCCTCCGGGGTAATGTCCGCTGGCCTTCTCCTTTTCCGGTTCTGGGTGGGGAACAATGTGATTGATTCCACAGCCGCGTATCGATGAAAAGATCTCTCGATTCCTCGAAGACAGGCTTCAATGACACGCTTGCCCCCCCACTTGGGAAACATACCGGGAAATCTGAGCGCCACAACGAGCATTCCAGTAGCAATCTCGATGATGTCGTCCAGGAGTTCCTCACTGGGGTCAGGAGATCCCCGACACATTTCAGTGATTTCTTCGCGGGTGAATAAGCAGTTCATGAACCCTGCATAGGCGGGATTCCCGGGGTCGTAATAGGCGACATAGCACACATGACCATTGTAGGAGAGAGCGCGCCCCCATCCGAGGTGTCTGGCTCGCCCTTGTTGACAATACTCAATAGCCATGTTCACCGGAACCCGTAGGGCACCCAGAGACGAAACGGTTTTCGCCAGGTTGGACCGACTTGTGGTGGCACAGTGCTGGATGAAGTTCTTGATGTTGCTGGCTGGGTCGCAAATTGCTTCACCGGTCCCCACGTCAATGAAGTAGGTTTGGTAGAGATATACCGCACACGCGGCGCCATTTTGTTCCAGCCGTTTCCAATCATCCCAGGATACCACTTCGGGGTATTGCCTCCATTGTTCCTTGAAGGCGCACCCAGGACAGTAAGACCCAAACTGGGCGTTCCTGAGACTTTCGGAATCCAAGAGGTGACTTCGGCATTGTTCACAGTAAAAGGCTTTTCCTGGCACGGTCGATCTCTCATTCGTGGTCTGGCACTGTTCGATTTTCCACCAAAACATCTCGCTGTCATAGTAGGGCTCGGGCTCAATGAGTGCTACGTCCTCACTCCCGAACGGAAGGTCAGAGCGTCGCCTCTCCGCTCGCCTTACTTGCGCGAGGTCCCGCGTGGCGGAGGCCTGCTCTTCACCTGCGGTCACGTCAGCGCGGATGAATTTCACCTCATCATCATCGACCAGGGAAAACACCCTGCTAATACGCTCGCGGTCGAGGTTGAAGGGCTTGATGCATGCTGACAAAATGTTGATCTTCTTCGTGTCCAACATGCATGTGGCCAGTGCTTTCTCATTCAGGAGTGACTTCTCGAACAGTGCCCATCCCAAATCAGATTGATCAGCCTTGATTCTGTGTCCTGTTCCGCTCGTCACTGACAACAACTTAGGCCATAGGCTTGACGTAGTCAGAACCAGGCATCCGTTGGCGCGTAACTCTTTGGCAATCTTCTTGATCACAATGCCATAGGAGAGCGCGGTGTGGTCGAGACCATTAAGCAACGGGTCGTCATTTATCGTGACCGCAGCGGACCTCGGGACAATCTCATGTAGCTTGGTAATAGGTTGAGTGTAAAACTCCTCAATGACTTCATCTTCCAGAGGAGCGAGGGTCACGCCATACATTGACAAATGGATGTGTACGGTCATCCGCGAGACGATGTCCACGTGCACTTCCCTTAGTCGATCGCATGCCCGCTTGACAGTCGATGCGAAGTTCGCGATGTTGTCACGAGGTCGGTTTGCCTCCGGAGGCGCAAACACTTCCAGGGCGGACCATCCTTTGTCTCGCATGGCGATGAGAGGAGTTGTACGAATGGGTGAATCGCTGGATTTCGAGCGCAAGTTGTAATCCATCACCAGCAGGGTGCATTCGGATTTCCATATTGCGCCGTCTTCACGACTGGCGAAATGCATGACTTCACATAAGTTCGCCTCAGCTTCGCAGAGTTCCACGATCTCATTTTCAGGGAAGTTCGGGCGAATCCATTCGTCAGATTGACGATCATCGAAAACGCACGCGGAGAGAACTGCCGGCTCAGGAAGGCATTGGGTACAACCCAGGTGCATTCGCTGGTAAATTTGATTGTAGAGCCGGAGCCATTCTTCGTCCCCTTTCAGTATGAATGTGGGTAGGTGAAATCCTGCCTCCACGTTTGCTGATAATCCACCAGACCTCGCCAGCATCGTAACCAATCGCCTCAAATAGATCTGTTGGAACGTCTTGCCAATGACAGGCCTCGGAGTCTCGTCCACGGCGTTCATGAAACCTCCACCATCCCGACGTTTAGCGACCTTCGTCCCATAGACTTTTCCCGACTTCACTTTGAAATGATGCGTGATGAGCACAGCATTCGTCGTGTCAATGGGTAGATCCCACCCGCTTTCAGGAGGTGGTGCCTCAGGTTCACTGGTAGAGGGAGTGGCCGTGCTCGACCCGACCGTTGGTCTTGGCCGGCCACTGGATGACGCTGCTTCAGATGCCGCCGTCGTTCTCGCTGATGTAGGCCTTGGCGTGCTTTCTGTAGTAGTCCTGCTTCTCTTCGGGACTTGTTCAGCCCTGTCTTGCGTCGGCGCAGGAGGCGGGGCGCGGCTGGCAGTAGGTTGTAGGAGAGGATGCGCAGGTCCTTCGGGAATAGAGCTATCGTCGTCACCAACACGAGGAGCGGCTCTTGCCCATGGAGGGTGGGCCGCAATGGGACGGGGAAAGTTCGTGTCACCTGGCATCAGATAAACGTGACCAGGCCGTAGGCCACGGTCAATATCTTGATCCATGTCCTCGATGGCCTGGTTCCACATCTTGAAGGCTTGGTTCATCCAGGAGTAGTCAGCCAGCAATCCTCAATTGATTGTAAGAAGCGACTGCAACGGTGTTGGGGAGTCCCGCGCCTGTTGGAGGAGGTTTGGACAACAGGTCCAAGATTTCGTCAATGGTCCCTTTCAAGTCCTCCTGTTCGGGCCACTGGTACGAGTGGTCGATGGAATACAGCCTTAGCGTTCGAGCACATACGTTCAACGCCTGGAAGCAGTTCATCGCATATGCCAACGGCGCATCCAACTCTTCTGGATGTAGCTGCACTAGTCGCACCAGATCAACCACGGTCATGCGATGGTCCGGGTGATCACGATTGTGCGTCCGCAGGCCGTAGGCCATGTGGCTGCAGAAATTCTCGACCGAGTTGCGTAGCAGGATAAGAGTGTTCCATCCCAGCTTCACACCAGCGGGAGTGCTCTCATAGTATACCTGCTGAGCTTCGTACCAGGCTTGATAGCGGGTAGTGTGGATGAACCCAGTTGGCACCGGAATAGGTTTGCAAACGAGCACCGGATTCAGGTAGTCCGTGTCTGTGACCACTTCCAAAGCGGAGGCGGCGGCGTCGACCTTAGAATCCCTGGCGTCTTGCTCCAACACGTCCACGAACAAGTTGACGTCCTTGAGTAACTCCAAGTCGACCAAGTCGAATAGAATACTCGTGGTCTGCTGTAACAGGTCGTTCTGGATTCGAGCCAGGCAGGACGAGGCGCGTTTGATTCTGGCTACCAGGTCGCGGTAGCTTTGGTGCCATCCAGGTTCGTTCAAGGCGTAGACGAGCGCACGGAATAAAACTCGGGGGCGAGTCTGTCGATCGTTGTGTGGGCTGCATGGTGCGGAAATTGCCGCCACGAAGACGACGGGTACTCCTGCCTTCGCCCAATTCATGATCTGGAGATTCGGAGCAACCATCCCATGCATGAACTTCG